ATAAAATATAAATATAAAAAAAGTATACATATAATATAAAATGAAATTTATTAATTTTTTTTCATTCATTAAAAATCAGCATAAAATATATTTAAAATAGAAATCATCTAAAATATATATTATTAATAATAAAGAATTTAACATCTCAAATAAATGTTTAACAAATCTATAATATATATATATATATATAAGGAAATTAAAAAATATTTATATTAAAGCATACATATCTGGAAGTGTTATAAGTTAATGCCTTAAACAAAATTTTTCTTTTATTACAGCACAATTTTTTAAATATATATATTACGTAATAATACACATATATAGTGATTAAAAAATATATTTAGAGTTTATTGTCAAATTATAATCATAATATATAGCATTCAATAATGATTATATAAAATAACAACATATATATAATTAAATTTTAAAAAAATTAAAATAATTTCATTGGATATATATTATATATGATAATAATTAAAATATAAGATAAGGATTCAAAACTAATACATAATTTTAATGTTTAAAACGAAATTCTCAATGGATTAGTCTATCTGATAAATCTGTAGAAATGAAAGCCAAAATGAAATTATGAAATCTCATATGTGGGCACATAACAAAAGTCCAGGAATCTAGTGTATTGAAACTTATTTCATGAAAAAGAAAGTATAATCCTGGTAATTTATTTAATTTTTTTAATAATGATTCTTTTATTAATATTTAATGAATTAATTATAATAATAATGTACATATATTTAATTAATTTTTTATTGAATTATATTCTTATATAAATGTTATAACTTTTAACTGTTTTAATTTTTTAAGAAATCAGAGAAATCACATAAATGTATGATGGTGAATTCAAATGTCAATTGGGAAGACGTGTATAATAAATGTCATAATAAAGAAGGGAAATCATGTGAAGAATCAGATAATGTAGATAATTATTTAGAAAATCTTAGAACTTTTTTGGATAAATTATATTCTGAAAAAATAAGTGGAGTTACGCTTAAAGCACAAAATTGCATTTCATTCAAGGAATGGATTTACAAGAAAAAAATGTGCATATGTGAAAAAGTTAAAGCTGATAACGAGAAGTTGATTCAATTAAAAAACGTTTTTAATATACCATCTAATATTAGTACAAATTTCCCTGTCTGCTTCTATGAGGAAGATACAAAGAATGTATGCTATGGATCATCATCAAATGAAAGTGCCTATTTGTCGTCAACAGAAAAATATCCTGTTACATATGATGCACTGATAATAAAATTAGTTTATTCTATTTTTTTTCCGCTTCTAACCGTAGTTTTCCTTTTATTTTATTTATATTATAATGTAATATAAAATTTAATTTAAGAATAATATTATCGAATTATTTAAATTTATAAAACTCTAACATCATTTCTACAATATATATATATTATATTTTGTCTTAATTAATACTATATATATATAGTATTCTAAAATAAAAACGTTTCTATATAATAAATATATAAAGGTGTGTTCAATAAAAAATAATATGAAAAAAGGTTATTCCTCTAATAATACCGAAGAATTTTTCTTAGGACCCGAAGGGAAAAGAATTAATATACAATACCTATCTAAGGAGTATGCATAACTATAATAAATCTCAAATTGTCTCATATAATTATTGTATATTTTCACTAAATAACGATATCATAATTTATAATATAATTAAATTAATATAAAATACTAAAAAGAATAAAAAAACTATAACATATTATAAAATTACAGGGTTTAATGTATATTTTTAGTGTTCATTATATATGATACTATGATAAATAGTTATTTTATCATAATAAATTTATTATGATACATAATATTATTTTTCACTACAGAAATTGCATGTACCTTATATTCTTGGATAAAATAAAGCACTGGTCTACTATTTACATCCAATTTATATCTTCTTTTGTTCATAGATTTTAATATTATCTTAGCATATAATTTCCAATAAATATGGTATGTATATATATTATGCATGTTTATTCAATTGGAATAGTTAATTTCTGTTAAACCCTTAATATAATACATCTATACATATGTAAATTTAATATAAAAAATATCCATACCCAATAAAAATTGTTCTTTTTCAATTGTTACATGTCTAATAAGCTATATTTTTTTAGAAACTAAATATATGAATGATTAATATGCAATAAAAAAAAAATAGTAATGTATAAATTTTAAAATATTATAAATTACTTTGTTATTTATATTTTGAGTTAATTAAATATAATTAATCTATTAAATATAGTTTATTTATTTTGTATCATTAATTCAATTAAAATTATATTTAAAGAATATTAGTAAAGAGACACATAGTATATAAGACAGAACAATATATAAATATAAACATAATATTAAATACGTGTTAAAACTTAATTATCAAAATAAGTAATATTTTCTATATTTAAGTATAATATTAAACACAAAAAGATATAATCATTTTCTAATATCAAAATTAATGTTGTTTAATATAAATAGTATATATAACAAATTGGTGAAAATGCAATATAACAAAAGTTAAAAGATTATTATAACATCTTCCATCTTCATGAAGATAGTATTTTTTAAGAACTTGTATATGCTATTATATGCTATAACATATATTTAATTTAATTTAATTAATTGTACTTATGTAATCTATAATTTTTGGTATTAACTGAAATTTATTTTCATCATACTAATTAATGCTTATGTTGGTAGAGAAAATAATAGCTTTGAAATTAATCTATAATTATAATATTTAGATGAATAATAATTACATTTTTTACCCATATATTATTATACATTTAAACAATTATATATGTGATAAAAAAATATATGACCTAGTATGATACAAATTTATGAAAATATATAAGTTAAATATTTTTTGCGTAATGTAATAAATAAATTTTATATATGAATTAACACACGTAATATGTTTATTTAGATAAATATAAATATATTTGCATACTTAGACACCATGTATTTCTTTAAATAAAAATATATTTTAATAAACCTTACTTTGTTTATGTACTAGTTCCAGCAGCAGATTTTTTAATTTGCAGGTTCTTTTTTTAAGTATATTATAATATATAACATAAAAGTAAATTTATGTATCTTCATAACACTTATTCTTTTAATGAATATATTCATTATAAGAATTTTAGTATTTTAGGTGACCACAAAAGAAATATTTATTCTTTATATACACATTTTTACTACCTATTCATATATATAGTTGTATAGACAGTAATTAACATCATTTCTATATATGTTATAAATAATATAAAAATATATTGGTATCGATTTATTGAATGTATATACCTTATTTATCTTCAAATGTGCTATTTATTCTTTTTGATTTACTAATTTTTTTTTTTATTTATGTATATGTAAAAGGTTTATCTCAAGAATGTATATTATAATGGATAATTTGATTTAGAATAAAAAATTAATATAATGCCTAATAGTCAATCATAATAATAAGCATAATTAAAATTAACGTTAAATTTATTGCATATCTTAAATTCTGAAATATAAATTCTAGATGTAAAAAATATTTTCTAGAATATGATAATTAATATTTATCACATCCTTTTGTAGGAAATATAATTTTTTTCTATTTACACATATATATTACCTCAATAATCTGCTGAAATTTTATATTATGTTTATTAATATAATTATATTCTTCATAGATAAATAATTTTCATGGTGTGTTAATAAACGATATAATGTTTTATGTAATAATTAATTTTATTATAATACGATAGATCTTACATATGATATGCTATATATATTATTCCTTGTATATTCAGCATAGTATAATGTAATAATACTTATATCTAAGCAAAATGATGTTTAATGATATATATTTACTCAAATTCACATATATTATATATAACATATATGAAAATAAAAGAATGCAACTCATTCAAAAAAAAGTACGTTATTTGAATCAAATAAATTAAGTATTTGTATTCAAAACCTGCAATTTAACTAAACAACATATATGTAATTAAAATTTTCATGAATTATTATCATAAAATAGGGGAAAACTAACTTACCTTGCAAAAAAACATCATATGAATATTATAAATATCATTCTAACAAAAAATCATTTTTCACAATTTATATTTCATATTTCAACATACAATTTTATATAACGCAATTTAATAGAATAATGTGATATATATGTAAATATCTTATATCAATGTCATTAAATATTTGTATAAATGAGAAGTCATTTTATAAAAAAAAAAAAATTATATTCAGCAAAGTACAGAATATATAAAAATGTAATTTTATGAAATGTATACATTTTATGTTTAGTCATTCAACGTGAACGAAATAATAATATTATTAACATTACCTAAAAATACCACTGAAGCATTATTTACTTAAGTTCTCTAATAAATCTATATCTTTTTTATTGTATTGTGAGCATAATTTAATATTTATAAGAAAATATTAATAGAAATATATATAAAGGCATTTATTTTCTCCTTTTTATATGCTATTTAAATGAAATACTTTCTTGTAAATATACATTTATTGGTGTCACTGTTCAGAATTATATAACACATTGTATCTAATATTCCATGATTTATCTTCTTATGTATCCCATTAATGCTTTGTATGACATTATTCATCTATAATTTTAAATACATTTCTTACACTTTTAATATTAGGCTTCAGATATGGGCCATAAGGATTTAACTAATAAAAGAAAACATGTTAAATTGATGATATAATTTTTTAAGGATATATATATTTTTTATTAATATATTTTAACATTTATTTTATATAGTAATCATATATATTATTAACATTATATAGAAGAAGCAATACACATGGTAAATATAATATTATAACAACATGAATTGAAGTATGAACTACTAATTTTTGACTTTGATGAGAAGTTAATCTTTCGGATAAGCTTATATCATAGTCACTATTGGTTCCAGATGATTAAATTTTTACCTAATTCTCATTAATTTTTTTACGTAAATCAGAAACACTGTATGATTCGTAAGCATTCATGAGGCGATAATGTATATTTTCACACTTTCTGGCACAGTCATATTTATTTTCAACACACTAAAATTAGAATTTTCTATAGTGTGAATTCCTATATTAATATCATATATACTTCTGAGTATTTCTAACTTGACAGAAGTATTATTTATTTGATTTTTAGCAATAGAAACCCTTAAATAAATGCTATTATAATCTATATTTATCAATTTACCATAAATACTATTGACCTTTCAGTCATAGATTACATTTTTTAATTTATATTTATGTAGCCAATAATACAAATATGTAAAAGGTTTTCTTTGCAAAGATGTATTATTTGATAACGTATATATTTTATATAATATAACATTCATTCATAAAATATATAAACATCATTTGTTATAAAAAAAATATTTGAAAATCCTCCTTTAATTTGCATTCAGGCATTCTTACAAGTTTCATTGTTATTAAGAAAATGATGCATGATACTATCATATTCAGTAAATAATGGATATATAGATTCATATTAAAAAAATATAAAAGTAATTATACTACAAAAAGCATATACACATGAACCTATTTACATAAAAATAATGGAAATTGACATATACATTTATTATAATATTTCAATTAATATAATAATAATTTTATCCTACAACATATTTTGCCATCTTCATTATGATTATATGCTTTTTCAAACTAATCCAAAAAAATGTTAACCTGTACTTGCAAATAAATTCCAAAATTCTAAAATAATTGTACATGGTATTAGAAAATATTATTTGCTCTTTATTAAAATTATACAACTGATGGTAATAAGAAAAATTGGATGTAATGATCAATATTTTTTATTCTAATTATAATGTGATACTGTTTGTTATATATAGTATATTTTCGTAATTATTTTGAAGTAATATATTAAAAACATAAACATAATGCTTAGTTAAAAAGACAATAATATTTTTTGTTAAAATTACGCATAAAAGCAGGAAATATTTTAGAGTTCAGTGTTCATGATTTTAGTTTTAGCAATTAATCTTTTATTTTATTAATTTGCAGCATATTTTTACTTTTGTATATTATATATTGAGGTGTATACATTGTAATTAATATATCAAAATATATTATTTATATATATGTATTTTGAAAATATAAAACATATATTAATTTTTACTGTGAATTTACAATTATATTATTTTAATAATATTCATAAAAATAAAATAAATATAATTAACTTTGGTAAATAAAATATACAATTTATTATTATACAATAAGGGTTTCTCTTATATATGTATTGAATATTACATAAGGTTTATTACAGGTAAATTTCTTATAACATTCAGTATATATATTTTTATTTTCTTTGTCTCAAAATTTATTTTAAGCATGCACCAGAAGTTCATACTATATTTCACTTTAGTGTTTTATTAATTCTTCTATTCATATAATATTTTAACATACTATATTCATTATGTTTCTTGTACTTTTTTTATTCTGTTACACATCAATAATAATTATTATTTTTATTTATATATATATTCAATGAAAATAATTATGTTTTCGTGCTTTAATTATAAACACATATTTTTGAAGCAATAATAAATATAATTATTGATACAATTAAATTATCAAATTTAACAATTATTCTATTATAAATAAGCTATATATTATGAAATCTCTACTTTTAATGAATTAATTTAAATTATATATATTTTTAAAATCTGTATTATGCTTATACTATAATACATTAAATTCAAAAAAATGTGCACTTCTATTAGAGTACTATATATACCTGGAATGCTTGTTTCATAATATAGAAGTATATATATTTTTTTTATGTTTTTCTAAAATGAATAATATAATTAGTATTTAAATTAGATTCGAATTCATAATGGCACATTTCTAGTTGTTTTTCAGAAAACACTCATATGAATATTGTTCATAATTAATAAATAGAATTAAATCAGTTTAAGTGTTCATTTTAATTTATAATTAGTTTGTAATAAAAAAATAATTATAAAATTAGAAATATATTTCAAAATTGGAAAAATATTAATAAATTATATTAATGAATAATCTGTGTCCCAGCATTTTTCATATTTAATGTTTAACATAAATGTCATATTGTATTTAAATTACATTCTTCCACGGAAAATTATAGTTTCCTTCTTTATTATTTCATTTTTATATGTATTATTATATTTCTGTTTTAGTTAAATATGGCATTATACCTAATTATGATCTTTAATAAATATAATATATAATGATTATATTAAAATAAAATGTTGTATTTGCTACATATATATTTTATAAAGCTTTCAAGATATTATATTTTAATCAAATATAAAATGAATATATATAAATATATGATTCAATAATATACATAATTTTTAAATAAACGACATAGTACTATAAAAAATAATTAACAAAAAAACATTATTTAAAAAGGTACAATACAGAGAAAATGCAAAAAATATAATATATAACAGCATAGGTTTATTTTTGTAGAACGTGTAAAAAAAATTAAAAGTTTTATTTTATTATTATAAAAATAAATAATATCTTATTTTTTTACTAACTTTTATATTTTCCTTAAATACTATGAAAATTATGGTTAACGTGCGAAAATGATACCCATTTTTTTGTCTATTTATTTTTACATTTCATCAATTATTTTGCTGAAAGGCCTTGGAATGATATACTCTAACTAAAAAATAAGATTTAATGATTATCAATAGTGTAAATATATATGTTTCTAATTTATATGATTAATAAAATTTTTTTACAATTTTAAAATACAACAATTATGAAGCCTATTTTATATTTTGGAATCTATTAATATATATATTCTTTATAACATTAATATTATGCATATGTACAATTTTTAATAATTCTAAATATTTATATACACCGTATATATCCTACTTTTTATACATTTACTTTGATAGCAAATACATATGTTTTGCAAAACATTAATATGTTAATTATATTGTTAAGGTCCTTTTTTTTTCCTTCTCTTTTGTTTATATTATATTAATTCGGAAAAAATATTAAATGCCAATATTACACTTTAAATAGTTACACATATATAATTTCGCCCCCAAAAAAGAATAACACTCATAAGATCTTCAATCTCATTTCAAAAAAATAATTTATTATATATATATTTGCAATCGGGTAATTGATATTCGAATATTATTGTATAATATTCCTCTGAGAGCTAATATTTAGTTCTGCGAGGGTTCGTGTTAGTTGAACATACAATGCTTGTATACCCATATCAAATATTATGATATACCATAATTTTAGTAAATAAGGGAATGGTATATATATATAATTTATTCTATATTTCTGTAGTAAAGTGGTTATTTTTCCCTTCGTAGTAATAAATAAAAATTGTATATTCATATATTATAACATTCTACTAAGTATTATAAAAATTCTTCATTATATATTCATCATATTAATATAATTAAATTTATATTCTAAATGAATACAAATGCTATAAGGTGATTATTAACTCAAAATAAATTGGTCCCATTAACTAAAATTACTCATTTATTGGTTATATCTAACCTAATTATATGCTATTTTATATTTATTTTTAAATGTATTTTTGTATTCAACATCAAATGAATGCATAAGGTCAATATTATTTTTGTTGTTTTTATTTAACCTTCTTCTAAATTTTCGTACCCTTGTTTGCAAAAATGAAAAATAAGGGGTATACTAAAGAAAAAATTAAATAGTATCTTTATCTATGGTTAATATATAATATATGAATTTATTAAAAATATGTCAATGATAAATTATATTACAACATAAATTATTTATATTCATATTGTTTTTAACCTTACAAAAAATAAAAATTATTATTAATATTGAAAAAGTTATAAAAACCGTTCCAATACTTATTCCGGTATTTGTCACAGCATCCGTACCATAGCCCTTTAATGTTTCAGCTACTAATACATTGGTTTCCAACGTTTTCGTTTGTTCCTCAATAATCCTTCTTCTTTTTTCATCTTCCTCGTCGAATTTACTTATTATTTGTTTAATCCAATTATCAGTTATGCGATCGGCAGCATGTTTGTAGGGATTCATAGTCCAACTTTTTTTATAGCCATTACACATATCAATAATTTTATCGACTTCTGCCTTAAGTAGGCTTTTTTTTTTATAAGGATAATTCGCTAGAGATAATATTTTCCTTTGGAAAGCATCCATCTTTCTAGTGTCGCTTTTTCTCATATCTTTAAAAAGAGCAATGTATTCATATATATCAAATAGATATCCCAATACTTGAAATGTACCTTGCTCAATGTTATCAGAATAAGCCTTACATATATCAGATATCCTTGTACTAGAACTTCCTTTAAATTCTTCTGTCATTCTCCCATAGTATGCCTTAGCGTCAGTATAATTTTCTGATGGGAATTTTATTATTATATCTTTTTTCAGTTTATAATAGAATAATTTGCAACATTCTTGTTCATGATTTTTTTTATGTGTTCCAATATGTTTTAAATACATTGCAAGAACTGCACACAATTTAGAGAAATTTGTAGACTCTTTACCCTTAATTACATTTTTGTAAAAATCACTACATAAACCTGTAAATTTATGATCATCTTCAGATCTTTGTGCATCTTTATCCCAGTTGAAACTATATGTACATGTGTGGAACATACCATTCAAGCAAAACTAGAAATGAAAGTCATAAAATACACAAAAATTATAAAAATATTAAGAAAAAAAATTGAAAATTATTTTTAATAAATAACATATTTTAAAACAATGTTTATAAAGCTTTATTTTATTAAACATTTAAATAATACGTCATCACCCTCTAAATTAGTGTCACCTGCCATAATTTATGTAATTTCTAAAGAGAATAAATATGTTTTATAATTCATATAATAAATTATTATTCCTTAAAAAAATATCAGGGTAAATATTATATTAATATCACATAATAACACATATTATGTTTTTTAATTCTATATATTTAACATGAAATTAACGCTTTTATTAAATTCATTATACATATAAAACTGTTTTAGTATTATTCTTTCTAGGTAAGGAAATGTTATTTAATAAACATATCATTATATGAAAAATAAATTCGTATAATGCGAAATATATAATAAAATCTAAAAAAAAAACTATATGTGTAATAACATTATATATAATACAACATTTATAATAATTCCAATTCATTATATATAATAAATTAAGTATGTAATGTAGTAAATTAATTTATAATAAATTATTTATATTATGACTTTATTTACATTGTAAATATGTGCTCTCCTATATCTATAAAATACTTTAGTTAAAAACACAAGGTTAATAATTCATGCTTCTAAATATATTTTATGTACTTATTTTTGTTTTAAATATTTTAATCTAGTTAATTATTAGCAAAATATTAGAACTTTGATTATACTTTTATAAAATATGTTAGGAATACAAGAATATAATATATCTTAATTTATGTGAATTATATTATAATAAAGTAAATAATATTTCATTAAAATTTACAATACATATATGCATTAATATGAGTATATGTGTGCATTATAAATAATCATATAATATTGGTATACATATATTTACATATAAATGTGATTTCATATTTTATAATATTATATTCATCTAAATTTTATATTATATATTAACAGGGAAAATAATTAAAACATGTAATTATATATTATATATCATAATCATATGTATTTAATATGGAATTAATATTTTTAGCATTATATTATATAATAGTATAATAAAGTAATTTACTTCAAAAATATAACTCCTACAGGATTGTCTTAATGTATTTATATATTTATTTTTTTTATGATATTATCGATGTAAAAATTTTTTATACTATGTTGCTATATTTTATGCTTTGATTTTTTTTTCATTTTATTAAACACAAATTATTCATTCCAAATATGCCAAATAAATTCTTTTTTTCGTGAAATCTTTTAAATGAAACGAAGTTATCCTATATATAACCAAAAAAAAAAAAATATAATATAAAATAAATATTAATGTTTTTATACCTATTTTCGCGTATTATTCACACAATATTAACTTCATTATGATATATTTATTATTTTTATTTAATTATTTATTAAGAAAGCAAAATATTTTATATTATTTATACTACCATTAAATATTTTGTAAAAAGGGCTATAATAATTTAACGCAAATTTTATATAATTTTTATGTGAATAATATGTTTATAAAAATCATTTATTTATTATAAATATTTAAAAAAGATATAAATATGCAATGTATTAAATCCTTAAAACGCAAATATCAAGAAATAATAGATTTGGGGGGGGTTTATACATAATAGTTGTTATCATATATTTTACTGTATTATCATATAAATGCTATAATATTTATTATATAAGTAACAAGAATATTAAATTTTCATTTAGATATTATTAAATAAATGTACCATTCCCCATAATAATAAAATATTAGATAATTTATTTTTTTTTAAATATTATATAAAATCTTCACTAGTATATCATTACAATTGAATAGTTAATGTTGCAAAATTATTGTATAACTTTTATTATACGTTGCAAATTAATATACATATATTTATAGTTAAAAAAACTACATATAACCCAATTTATAATACATTTTACATGTATATTTTTTACATATTATTGAATTTTTATAATGAATACTCAATAAATTGGATCGGAATATAACAGAATAATATATTATTTTATGTGCATATTAATATTGGATAAATACAATATATATTAAATGATAGAAAATAATAATGTTATTTTATCATAGAGCAAAATTTTTATGAAAAGATACTATCTCTAACTTCTATATATGCATATTATATTTAGCATAAAATTATTTTTTTTCCATAATGAGGTACTATCTAGAAGAATAATCTAAGCAAATACTTTGTTTATTCGTTTTTTTAATATTATATCATTCATTAAAATATTAATAAATATATATTCCTACAAAATTTTTACATATGTTTTCATATATTTATTTATTAATATACTCAGCTTTTATAAGGGTATGTTGAATACCTAATTATAAATAATAAAATATATTCTATATAAGTCTTGTTAAAATATATCCTAATACAAATAAATTAAATATAATAGCATGAATCAACATATGCTCTAAGTATATTTATACACGAAATTGTAGATCTAAATATATAAAAACTTGTCAATATATCTAGGAAAATTATTTAAAAGTTTTAATAAATAAATAACTAAATATCTCATAATATAGCACTTTCTAAACTTCATATATATATAGTTATATGTTAAGATATAATATATATTTGCGTTATACTATTAATATTTATTAAAACATTTTAATGAAATTTATCCTTAAACGTATGAAGTATTATTAGATATTTTTAGAATTTCGTATGCATTCTTTTTGTACTTAAATATTTCTTATTATTGAGGCTACATATCATTTGTTAATAGAATTATTTATAATTTCATTGTAATAAATTATCTATAACTTAGTGTTCTAAATACGTCAATGATTTTAATTAATATAATATATATTTATACATATAATTCAGTGTTGTTCTAATTATTTGTTTTATATCTTACTCTTATATTCCTAAATGCATAATTGTAAGTAGGGGGTATTGGCTTCATGGATTTAAATTCTTCAATTGATATAAAGATTTTTAGAGTTTAGCATTTTATATATAACTTTTAGATGATTCATTTATTTTTTTGATATATTTAATATATCTTTAGCATTTTTTGTTTTAGTTCCTATTGTTGGAATTATAATATCTGATTTATATATCTTGTTTTCACATCATAATATATATATTTCTTATTACCTTTTTATTATAATGATATATATACCGACATGTGTTTTAAAAATTCATGAATTTCTATATATTTTATATTATTTTTATTAATTGTAAGGAGAATAATTTTAATAATAAATTATTTAAAATAGAATAAAAAATATGTATTTCTATATATATATCATGTTGTTGCAGTTTTTTTATTGTTAGAAAACTGTATTTTATATATGATATATTAACATTGTTTTATATTATGAGTATATTATTTTATATATAAAAATTTAGTTCAACATTATTTTGCACAAGCTTTATATTTATCATTTTATATTTGTATATATTATTAATTCCTCTATTTCTATCATCATTTAAAAATTATCATTCTAAAATATGCTTTATTCTTTAATTTATTATACTATTTATTAATGAATTCCACATTACATTGCATATAAGCTTATATGTATAAAAGAAATTAGAAAGTTATTTATTTTTTTATATATATTATGTAATTTTCAATTAATAAAAAATTTTAATTTTTACAATAATAACATAATTTAGATTCAAACTTTAATAATTAATCCAATAAATTTTTTAATAGAGTTATGAGATTTATTACAGGATTAAAATAACTTTTAAAGATATAATATTTTTTAAAATATAATATATATGAATTATACATTTTCATTATAATGTACCTATGAGATATATTCATTATGTGTACCCTTTTTTTCTGCCACATTTACATTATTTAATAACACATGAAAATAGCACATTATTACTATATAAAAAATATTGTTCATATTTTTTTTATTAAGAAATAGGAATAAATTTTTTAATAAATATATTATTCTTTGTTTTCACAATGAAACATATATCATAAATATATTTTATTTCAAGAACACGTACTCTGATGGATAATATTGATAAAATACAATTTTATTTGTATTAATAGCGAAATAATATGAAGGATTAGATATATATGTCAATATATATATAATATTTGGTTTAATATGTTCTTTATAAAAATGTATCTATAAATTCATTGTTATCAACTATATATTATTTTATTGATACAAGCCCATAGTTTTATTATATGTATATATGAATTTATAGAAGTAAAACCATGAACACAAATAATTTATATTAATTTCGCGTTAAAAAAATATCTCTTCATATATTTTTTTAATTAAGTAATATATATAAACATATATATAATAAAAATTATTTCTTATATGTTTTTAGAATAATTGTCTTATCAGTGGCATATATATATTTATTTAAACCCCGTACTTATTTTTCATATAATAAGAATTATATTTAAAATACATAATTAAGTAGCATAATTTGGCTTTTTATTTATGTTCCTTATACAAATATGAATTTTTATATACTTCATAATTCATATAAATTTTTGTGGTGTCTTATGTGTTGATTATATAACTAAATTTGATAATGATAGCTACTAATTCTATGTTTAAATTTAATTTATACACATATTTGAAATCTCTTAGGAGCACATAAAATGAATCTATATTTTTTATATAAAATATAGAATTTTATATATTTGTTTTACATATTTTATATTTATATACTATGCATTATTATATTCTTATAATATAAAGTAAATATTCATTCGCATTTGTCTTATATTCTAGTATATATATCATAAATAATATAATAATTTCCATCTGGAAAATCCTTAATATAAGGATATATATAAGTTGTGATTTTATTAGAAAAAAAAAATCAGTAAAAACATAATTTTCTTGCTTATTATTAAAAAAAATTCTAATTTAATAAATCACAAAAATAGGAATACAAAATTTTACACAAAAAAATAAATAAAATGAATGAGTAACATTGTAACAAAAAAACGATAACTTTCAATTCTAATAAAAAAAAAATAATAAATGTTATACAAAATTATTTATCAATATCATAAATATGGAATATAATTGTATACAATCTTTTAGAATATTCTACATGAATTTCATATGAATTGAGTATATATATATATACTTATATGTATGATTAACTTTAGTATTTAATACCTAGAAATTTATTTTCAGCCGTTATATGTTATAAAATATAATAATTTGTTATAGCATTTTAGTTGAACTATTTTTAATTATCAGCGATATATATAAGTTCAATATGAATTAGCACATTAGATAATATATTATCATTTTATATTTATTATTCACTTATTAATGTAAAAATGTTATATTCATTTAAATAGCCATATATAATAGCATGTAAAACATGAAACGTGCCTTTTGTATTTTGTGTTCTAAATTTGTATTCATAGCGAATAAGAGCACACAAATTATATATTGTTCTTTTTGATAAATAATATCATGAATACAAAAGAATGATGTTCATTTATGCTTTGTTTTATATTGATAATTATTTATCTTTAATGTAAATTTAGCAAATATATCATTGTATATATATGGTACAGTAATTAGTATATGTTTTAATATAGTATTATCTTCATATTATATTTTTAATGAAAGAATTTGTTAGTGTTATATAATATGATATATTTATTGCTTCTAAAATCATAAGTGCATTCTTCGGATAATTCCAGTATATTCCTTTCTTTATCTATATTATTAGATTTTTTTTTTATTAATAGCTGTACATAGAACTTTGAACCATATGGTGTCAACTAACTCATTATTAAAAGAATTAATATATAAAGTGTTTAATTGTTTTCTAGATATTTGTTCATTAAAAATTAAATAAAAATATACTATTTCTATATAAGCATACACATATAACATAATTATTAACATTATAAAAGAAAATTAAAAAAGAAGAAATTTCTAAAATTAGAATAATTGGAATTGTTGTAAGGACCGTTATGTTATAGCTTTGTAAGGAAGGTAATGTTTTAGGAGTTTCGGGTCCACAAATTTTGCTTATCATTTTTTCATCATATTGTTCTTTTATATTTCTTAATTCATTGCAAAAATATTTGTAGCTATTGTATTTACATGATTCCATATTATTTTCATATCTTTGGGCACTCTTCTTTGCGCAATCACATATTTCATTACAAGTTTCAGTTTTACCACTTACATTAATAAGAAAAATATACATGTCATGTATATCTTTGAGCTTTGACATTTCATCATCTGTAATAGTAATGTAAAGCTTTATGAGCATATGTTACTATGGGCTTAATCAATAGATTCCATCAATTCTTTATAAAGACCTTTAACTTGTTCACTCAAATATTTATTATTATTATAATAATATAGCCAATAATACAAATATATACAACTGGATTCGTTAAGCATATCATAATGATCTACTTCTATAGTTCCTGTATAATTTTCTACTTCTTTGCATATGCTCTCAAAAAGGAATTAAGAACTAGAAATTTATTTTTTTCAATTCAATTACAGTTACCAGTATCAACCACATACTTACTGGTTGTTGTATTTTTCATAATTTCTTCCCGTTGAGGAAATTCCCATGCAAATTTATATTTGAAAAAAATAAAAGTTTGTTATACGATAAAAATTGTAATTTATGGAATTATTTATTTTTAATTTTATAGAAAAATGATATATAAAAATGTTATAATGTATTTATTTATACTATAATATTTATGATGTACAATATCTTTATCCACTTCTTATATGTTTATACTTCTTTACAGAATACATCGGTAGAAAAATGAAGTATATGGACATGAAAATAGTGTTTTAAAAAAATAAAGTTTATATTCTGATGTAAAAGAATTTTCTAACCTTATTTATTAATAGAATTGATATAAAAATTGAACAAACATCTTAATAATTAAATCTTACCCATAAGAAAATAAATAACAATAATTGTAACATATAATATACTTTTTAGCTATTTTAATGAAAAAACATAAATATTATTTGCTATAATCAGAAAAATTAAAAAATTAAATTCTTGATTGTAATATTTGTTCAAAATACTAAAATTATATAATTTTACTAATTCAATAAAGACAATAAAAAAATAAAATATTATTTTATGTTATGAGCATAACTATATAAAAAATAATATTTTATTATTTCCTAAATTGTCTTTTTTATAGCGATATGTATGATTTAATTTAAGCTATATAATATATTAGAATATATAACGATTAAGCAATATTTTGTAGATAATTCATTTCTCTTATTTAGCAAATGATATGAGCTCATTAATGTACGTTATAAGCATTTGCCAAATGTGGATATCAATTCTATTTATTAAATACAATAATGGATGTTATCATATATATGTCTTATACATTTAAATTACAACAATAGATAACACTCATAATATTATTATTATATTTTTTTATTTAACTCATATAAGTGAAGCTTATACCTATGCAGCGGAAACTAATTTATTAAAAACGTAGACATTACCAACAGAACACATATATTAAGGTGGTATTTAAAGATGAATAACATCTTATTTAACAATTAGTATACATATACTATATTTTAAATTTTTATTTACTTTGCTCTGTCAAGTATTTTCAGTTTTTATAAAAATAATATATACATTAAAACTTTGATTTTTTTATATAATGAATATATTAAATATTTTATTTCAGTATTATTCAAGAATTAATCACTTCTTATAACATATGAATAATATTTTATTTATGAGCATTATATATATCAAAATTATTCTTTCTAACTATGTCATATGAAGTCTTTTGAGTGCATACTATAATATCACATGGAATTTACATTTCATTGTGTGAAAAAAAGTAACATTAACATAAAAATTATTTCCTCTATTTAACCATGTAATGGTAAAAAATAATATTTTTTTTTTATAGAATTTCTTTTTTGTCCTGATTTTTTCACTAACAATTTAATGATATAAACAATTTTTTTATATAATAAGTATATAGCATATTTACCCACAATAATTTTTTGTATCAGTTAAATAATATTTATTAAATTTTAATTTTTTGATAGAAAATATATTCACTATTAAGAAATAAAAAATATTAATTAACATTTCTGATTTCTATCATAATAAATTTTCTTAGGAATTTTATATATTTTTCATTATTCAAATATTGTTACTTTTCAATAAAATAACGAAATTATAGGTGAAATTAATATATGATTTTTATTAGTAATTCTACATATATATAAAAGAATTCATTTACTATATTTTAATGTTTTCCTTAGATGCATATTTATAGCATATTTAACGAACATTTTACGTTAAATTAAATACTATTACGAATATAAGTCCATAAAAATTCTCCTTGATAAAGATTAAATTAATTTATTACAATATAACTGAATGTTGTATAACATAGAAATATATTTATAAATTAGAATTTCCTTCATGATAAATTACTTAATCAAAAATATAATTAATTATCATGATTACTATGTAACATATTATTTTATTTCTAAAATTAAAGCTGAAATCTCTTCATTAAAAGAACTATTTTATATAAACTCAATATATTGTGAAAATCTTGTACATAAATATGATACTATAAGAGAAGAATATATGTTTTTTACAAAAATATCGATCTAGACATATATACTTGCTTGTATATCATACATATGAGTTTATTAAACTGTGCTAATGAGACAAGTTTCATAAATAAAAAATATATGAACTATGTATAAAATTACAAATATATAAAGAAGGAACCTATTTTCTAAATATATATTCACAAATGAGAATATTCATCGTTCAATTTAATAAAAAATTAGGTAAATCTCTAGGTTTATCGTTTAAATTTATGTTTTAGGGTTTATGCTTAAGGCATATATATTAAGGATTTAGGGTGTAGATTTTCTGGAGGGAGGATTTAGGTGTTCATGGTTTATCGTTAGGATTCATTTGTTTTATTGGATCATTTTATAGGGTATTTTGCGTTCAGAGTTTGTGTTTTCATGTTTGTAATTCATGCATCAGGCTTTATTGATTACGGTTTCGTTTTTACTTTTATGAATTTATTTTTTTTTTTTTATTGATTCATGTTCAGTTTTAATTTTTTCTGTTTTTGTATTATTTATAGTTATTGGTTGTAGATATTTTTTTATTGTTTAGTGATTATTGTTAGGGTTTTATATTTCATGTCCATTATTAGTTTTCAAGGTATAAATTATATTATAGATTTAATTACTCTGTGTACAGGTTGTCACTACTTTTTAATTCGTGTTTATATATTAATGTCGTAAAAATTTTTATTATCATGGTTTACGATTATTCAATAATAATTAATTGAATTCTATTAATATTAATTTCTTATTTTTGTGCATTAAAGATAAAATAGTCATTCTATCTAAATGATATTATATATTTAATTGTTCTTATTATTTTATAATGTCTTAATATCATATGAAATTTAATCATATTATATATATATATCATTATTAAGTTTTCTTATAATACATTCTTATTATATATATTACACGAAAAATCTTATTTTATCATAATTTTTTGTATACAATTGTTTATATATATATATGAATAATTTGTTCCTTATAATATTACACATATACACCATTCATATAGAATTTTTGTTTATTAATCATTGTTTTCTTTTTATAAATTCATATAAACATTTAATAAAACTATGAG